GGGAGTGTAGCAAGACAGCTAATGAGGGAAAAGGTGAATCTTTATCAGCAAATTTTGCAGAGAATAATTAACAGTTTTCGAGAATGATTAATAAATTGAGAAAGTCTGAAGAGCAAATGGATTTGTCAATTAGGAACAAAAGAGAAATGCTAGATGGGGAAGGAAAGGTACTGAAAAGATGGACAAAATATTCTGAGAAGTTGCTAAATGCTGCAGATGAAAGGGAGGTGATATTGTGCATTGGGCAGGTAGGAATAGTATCTGGTAGGAGAAAAGAAGAATCAGAGATGAATGTGAGGAGTGTGTGTGAAGCAGTGGGTACAATGAAAGGGGGGAAAGCAACTGGGACAGATAGGATTTTGACTAAGATTTTAAAAGCAAGTGATATACCATACTATAATGTAGAATTCATTGATATATTTGTTCTATATATGGTACCCTGCTTTGCTGGGATACAGCCAGTTTATTGAAAGAAAAAGATATGAATGAAAGAAGGGAAGATCCATAGGGACTGGTAAAGTCTGCATTAGTTCCTCTGTATAAGGAAAAAAAAGAACAAGATAAATTGCAAGAATTATAAAGGAATAAGCCTGATGAGGATACCAGAAAAATGTACAGTGGGATTATTATTGAAAGAGTTAGGGATGAGACAAAGTAGGATTGCAGAGGAACAGGAAGAATTTAGGAAGGCCAGGGGATGTGTAGACCAATTGTTTACATTAAAGCATACAAGTGAACAGTACTTAGATAAGGGTAAGGAACTGTTTATGTCATTCATGGATTTAAAAGAGACATGATAGGGTGGGTAGGATAATAATGTTATATATGTTGCAAATGTATGGAAAAGATAATACCATAGGTTACTAAAAGTAGTAAAGAGGAGAGAATGAGACTCAGGTTAGGGAATGCAGGAGAGAATGAGACTCAGGTTAGGGAATGCAGGAGAGAATGAGACTCAGGTTAGGGAATGCAGGAGAGAATGAGACTCAGGTTAGGGAATGCAGGAGAGAATGAGACTAAGGTTAGGGAATGCAGGAGAGAATGAGACTAAGGTTAGGGAATGCAGGAGAGAATGAGACTCAGGTTAGGGAATGCAGGAGAGAATAAGACTATTTTCCAGCAAAAGTAGACCTTAGATGGAGATGTATGATATCACCAAGAATGTTTAGCATATTTACAGATGTACTGTTCAAGAAGTGACTGCAAGTGTGTTGGGGTGAAGTGTTTGTGATTCTAAGATAATGAATCCGAAATGATGAGAGAGTTGTCACAGCTGCTTTCAGCCAATGACAGTTGTTTTGGGAGATTTCAAAGAGAAGTTGTAAACAGTGGGTGGACAAGCTTGGGAGGGTGTGTAAAAGAAGGAAGTTAAGAGTGAACATAGAAAAAGAGCAGGGTGATGAGAGTAAGAAAATGTTCATGCAATGAAAAATTGGATATCAGATTGGAGGGAAGGAGTATGGAAAAAATGAATGTATTTAGATATTTCTGAGTAGATATACTGGCAGTTAAGTCTTTGAGGGACATGTTGAACCATGGAATAATACAAGTGGAGTGTTGAGGCATTTGTGGGGGGGGGGGGAGGTAAAAAGTGGAATGTACCAAAGTATAGCACTACTGATGTCTACAGAATTCTGCCAAGACAGGTAGAAAATGTCTGATGGTGAATGTTTCCCTTTTTAGCATCATTATATCTTGGTGGGAGATAGAAATGTAGTAAGAAAAACACACAAACAAACAAACAAAGAAACACACACACACACACACACACACACACACACACACACACACACACACACACACACACACACACGAGGAGAGTTGTGGAGCACCTAGAAAGATACAAGCTTATAAACGACAACCAGCACAGGATTTTCTTTCCCTGAAAGAAAATCCTGTGTCACAAACCTACTGGAGTTTTATGACAAGGTAACAGAAGTAAGACACGAGAGAGAGGGGTGGATAGACTGCATTTTCTTGGACTGCAAGAAGGCCTTCGACATAGTTCCTCATGAGAGAGTAATGCAAAAGCTAGAGGATCAGGCACACATAACAGTAAAGGCACTGCAATGGATCAGAGAATATCTGACAGGGAGGCAACAATGAGTCATGGTACATGACGAGGTGTCAGAGTGGGCACCTGTGACGAGCGGGGTTCCATAGGGGCCAGTCCTAGGACCTCTGTTTTTGGAATATGTGAATGACATAACAGAAGGGATACTCAGAAGTGTCCCTGTTTGCAGATGATGTGAAGTTAATGAGAAGAATTAAATCAGTCAAGGATCAGGCAGGACTACAAAAAGACTTTAACAGGAAACAAGCCTGGTCCAACAACTGGCTCCTTGAATTTAACCCCGCCAAATGCAAAGTCATGAAGATCGGGGAAGGGCAAAGATGACCGCAGACAGAGTATAGTCTAGGTGGCTAAAGATTGCAAACCTCACTCAAGGAAAAAGATCTTGGGGTGACTATAATACCGAGCACATCTCCTGAGGCACACATCAATCAGATAACTGCTGCAGCATACAGGCATCTGGCAAACCTAAGAATAGCGTTCTGATACCTCACTAAGGAATCGTTCAAGACACTGTACACCATATACATCAGGCCCATATTGGAGCATGCAGCACCAGTTTGGAATCCACACCTCGTCCAGCACATCAAGAAATTAGAGAAAGTGCAAAGGTTTGCAACAAGACTAGTCCCAGAGATAAGGGAATTGACCTATGAAGAAAGGTAAAGGGAAATTGGCCTGACGACACTGGAGGACAGGAGGGTCAGGGGGTACATGATAACGACATATAAAATACTGTGAGGAATTGACAAGGTGGACAAAGACAGGATGTTCCAGAGATGGAACTCAGAAACAAGGGGTCACAATTGGAAGTTGAAGACTCCTATGAGTCAAAAGGATGTTAGGAAGTATTTCTTCAGTCATAGAGTTGTCAGGAAGTGGAATACCCTAGAAAGCAATGTAGTGGAGGCAGGAACCATACGTAGTTTTAAGCTCATGGAGCAGGGAGAGAGAGGACCTAGTAGCAAACAGTGAAGAGGCAGGGCCAGGAGCTATGACTGAGCCACCCCTGCAACCACAAATAGGTGAGTACACACACACACACAAAAAAAAAAAAAAAATGTAAGATAGCCATTTAGTAGTCATTAACAGTGCATGTTAGGTGAGCTTGATGCTACGCCTGGCAGCTACCAGGGAATGGTAGAGAAAAAATGTCAGATGGAATAGTGAAATGTAGACCAGGTTTAGGACTGGAGTGAGTTACAGAAATAAGAATGACAATGAAAATTTATCCAACTTATAAACCAAAGAGAAAATCTCTTTTATACTTTCAGTAACTTATTTTTAATGACAGCATATAAGAAGGAATTTAAGAAGAGTAAGGGTGCAGAGAAGCTAATAATATATAAAATTATGAAATGCATGCAATTTTGCCAGATAAGGAGAGGTTTTGTCTTGTGTGTCTCACCATTTGCATACCCATCAGTATTTACAGGAGCCAGGACTTGACTCCCACAAACACCCAGCAGTGTTCACAGGAGCCAGAACACAACTCCCACAAACACCCATTAGTGTTTGTAGGAGCCAGGACTCAACTCCTACAAACACTCATCAATGTTCATTATCTATTTAAAAGCATCACTATATAAAAAAAAATCTGAATAACAGTGAAAAGTTATGTAAAAGATAAATACTTATTTAACCCCTTCTCCTGTATACATTACTAAATTTAAAAAGAGAAACTTTAGTTATTCTTTTTAGGTCACCCTGCCTTGGTGGGATATGGTCAATTTGTAAAGTAAAAGGACACAAGTGCAACTAATGTGACATTTTATTGTTGCAACATTTCGCTCTCCAGGAGCTTTGTCAAGCCATTACAAACATGGACACAGAGGGTATATATCTAGGCTTAGAGTGAGCAGCAGCAGCAGCAGCGGCAGCAGCGGCAGCAGCGGCAGCAGTGGCAGCAGCGGCAGCAGCGGCAGCAGCGGCAGCAGCGGCAGCAGTGGCAGCAGCGGCAGCAGCGGCAGCAGCGGCAGCAGCGGCAGCAGCAGCAGCAGCAGCAGCAGCAGCAGCAGCAGCAGTAGTAGCAGTAATGTAAGTTGTAGCAGTAGTAGTAATACAATTAATCTGCACATGAGTAAAAGGATATAAAAGCTATTACTTGAGTAGCATAAAAAAAAATAAGTTAGACAAATATTTCTTATTTTTTTTTATGCTACCCAAGTAATAGCTTTTATATCCTTTTATTCATGTGCAAATTAATTGTATTACTACTACTACGACAAGTACTACTACAACTACTACTACTACTACCACTAGTATTACACCTCTATCTAAGCCTATCTATACCCTCTGTGTCCATATATCATTTGTAACGGCTTGACAAAGCTCCTGGAGAGCGAAACGTTGCCACAATAAAATGTCACATTAGTTGCACTTGTGTCCTTTTACTTTACATGTTGTCAGTAATTCTACCAAAATATATACATATGGCCAATTTGTTGACAAAAAAAAAATACTTATTTCACAAAAAACAAAAATTCACTGAATTATATAACAGATTTTTAGCTAAGTGAACACAGCTGAAGTAATGTCATGCACCACTATTGGATCTAGACAATACTATTGACAGTAACATCTGTCTTATACTTAGATAAGTCACACACATTCATGTGTATGGCCACCACCTCCAAGCTGACATCTCAATGCACTCTCCTGTGAAAAATAAAAGTCACAATACTGCAGCTGGAATAATTCACAACTAACAAATTTGAAAACTTGGAAAACTGAAACTGCCCTGTAGACAAAATTTCATCCAGTCCTGCACCATTTATCAACTTAAATATGATAATGATCCAAGATGGACTGAAACATTGTTTAGCTAAAATTACCAATTTGTGGATGAGTTGGGAAGCCTTCTGTGAAAGCTGTGTGAACACAGAGGTGTTCATTCTTGAGAGATACACACAAGCATAAAACTTACTCATCAGGGCCTGTAAAGCGTCGCCGCAATAGAATATCCAAGGCTTCAGGATGTGTGTCCATCAGGTGTTGATAGGTTTCATCAAGAAGCTCAGCTGACACCTGCATTAGAAAATATTTATTTGCAATGTTTAGATTTTCACACAGCATCTATAGTAAGAGGTAAACATATTAAATAAAAGTTATATTAAAGGTTTTGTAACTATAAAATGTATACAATAACTGCAGTATACAATACTTTGCATTATAATTAATGCACACTTCTGTTTCACTGCATCTTTCTATATAACCTATACAGAAGAGTCGATACCTGTTGAATCTCGCCCCCTCTGAGAGCTACCCTTCCTCAATGAGCTGATTTTATCTACAATCTTTAGACAATTCAGCTACCATAAACCAAAGAGTTCCACAGGCAGGTTTAGCAATTACATATCTAGCAAAGTTGTCACCTGCTTGTATTCTAACAAGAACTTATGATGACCTAAACATATACATGAAGTATGTGTACTGTATGTTTTTTTTTTAGCAAGTTGGCCGTCTCTCACCGAGGCAGGGTGACCCAAAAAAAAGAAGAAAATCCCCAAAAAGAAAATACTTTCATCATCATTCAACACTTTCACCTCACTCATACATAATCAGTTTTTGTAGAGGTGCCCAGAACACAACAGTTTAGAAGCATATACGTATAAAGATATACAACATATCCCTCCAAACTGCCAATACTGTATGTATAAACTCTAAAATTAGATTGTAATTCACACACTTAAATATAAATTTCCTATGTAGTAGGTTGGTAGACAACAACCGCCCAGGGAGGTACTACCGTCCTGCCAAGTGAGTGTAAAACGTAAGCCCGTAACTGTTGTACATGATGGTAGGATTCCTGGTGTCTTTTTTCTGTCTCATAAACATGCAAGATTTCAGGTATGTCTTGTTACTTCTGCTTACACCTAGGTCACACTACACATCCATGTACAACCATAAGCATATATATATACACACCGCTCTGGGTTTTCTTCTATTTTCTTACTAATTCTTGTTCTTATTTCCTCTTATCTCCATGGGAAAGTGGAACAGAATTCTTCCTTCGTAAGCCATGCGTGTCATAAGAGTCGACTAAAATGCTGGGAGCAAGAGGCTAGTAACCCCTTCTCTTGCATACATTACTAAAGTTAAAAAAGAGAAACTTTTTTCTTTTTGGGCCACTCTGCCTCAGTGGGAAATGGCCGATTTATTGAAAGAAGAAGAAAAAACTATAAATTTAAATGTTCTCTCTTATCATCTTATCATAGTTATCATATTCATGTCTTGATGTGTGAGTGCTTATGAATTTCAGGAAAGAACAGGCGGCACTGAAGAATGATAAAATCCCAGTTTATTACTATTGTAATGTAACCTAGTACAGCAATGCTAAAATTGCAGATAGACAGGATACTGACCTCAAAGAGCTCTTTGTTGTGATCAATCATAGTCCTGACAACATTGATGACTTCTATTCGCTCTTCAGCATGTATGGCCATCTCTGTGGTGGACATGGACTCTGTGCCAGGTTTAACAGCGTGAAGTATGTTTGGGGCAAAGAGGGTGGCCAAATTACTACTGTCCATTTTGTTCCCTTGTATAATTTCTCCTGTAAAAGTATCAGGCTCTGTTAGTAATCATATAAGAAAATATGATGGTTATTAACACTGATGAATTACATTATTACTTGCAGTAGCACAGATGAACTTTAACTAGTGTTTTGCTATATCATACAACTAGAAGAGCATTGGATTTGTTCAGTGTACCTGAAACATGCAGTGTATGCTAGTATCCTGAATCAGTATGGTAGGATGATTGAAGAAGTGAATCAGGATGGTATGATGACTGGTGAAGTAAATCAGTATGGTATGATGACTGGTGAATTGAATTAGTATGGTATGATGATTGGTGAAGTGAATCAGTATGGTATGACGATTGGTGAGGTGAATTAGTATGGTATGATGATTGGTGAAGTGAATTAGTATGGGATGATGACTGGTGAAGTGAATCAGTATGGTATGATGACTGGTGAATTGAATTAGTATGGTATGATGATTGGTGAAGTGAATCAGTATGCTATGATGACTGGTGAAGTGAATTAGTATGGTATCATGTTTGGTGAAGTGAATCAGTACTGTTGGTCCCTACTTAATAAAGTCTTATTTAGTGAAAAGATGTTCAACTTGGTGCATTAATGGGCAACTTCGTTCACTAAGTGAAAGATTTGCTCAGTGAATGACTAACATTACTTGGCCAACCCAGGCTCAGATTCAGAAACTTAAAGTTATACATTTCCCAAGTTTAAAAAAATAGTGGAAACACAAGAGCACACCACCTAGGATATCTTATTGTGGAAATGTTTTCGATCCTGGGGCCTTGTTCACTCCAAACATACACGCCTAATGTATGTTTGGAGTGAGCAAGGTCCCAAGACTGAAATGTTTCAATAATAAGATATTCAAACTCTTTACTTTAAAGCTTTATAAGAAACATTTGTCTTGCCTAACATGCATGTCATATCAAACCATGTCTCTCCCTTAAAGACGTAAAATATAATACCTTCACTATTCATGTGTATGAATGCATGTGTATAATAATAATAAAAATATCAGTCAAATGGTATTACAGCAATATTTAATAATAAGAATTGCAGACACTTGGTACGTATATGTTGTAAAATGACTTGACAAGGGTATCATGCTGTGTATGACGACAGGTATGTACTTAGTCATAACATTTTAAACAAGAGTTCAGACATGCATAATGTAGATGTAATTATATTACAGGTTAAAACCACAATGATGGTTTGTATGCTACTGCAAAGAAAAGCATACATGTATGTATGTATTTATGTATGTAATATAAATAAATATATGTGTAATATATTTATTAAACAAACAAGTAAAAAAAAAAGCACACGCACACATGGACACAGACGAATGGCCAGACATATGCACACAAACACACACAGAGGAGCTGTGATTCGACCTCTTCAACCACAACTAGGTGAGTACACAGACAAAACATATAATTAACATGTAAATCTTGGTCTAAGACTTGGTACTGATAAAGTAGCTCCCAAAAGTATCTCACCGACTCATTAATCTACACTACGTATTTTTGACATCACTGACCAGTACTAGTCTGCTGGTCGGCTGCATTCTCAGCAACAGTCGCCAAGAAGTTTAGAAGAGAGTAAAGAGTATCACGGTTGGCTGCTGGCATGAGCTGTATTAAGTGCTGTAGCGCCTCGAACTGTAACTTGCGGTTCCGGATCTCTGTAAATTTAATATCCTACATTAAAATTCAAACTATAATAAAATTTTTATTGTATTCAGGAGAAACTGTTACATCTGTGTGGGTTAGTAACTGCTACATGACACAGGCTGACAGCAAGACTGATGATGGTGAAGTGTTGGGAACAAGCACACAGGACCCCAGTGGAAATAAGTCACTTTGCCTGACTTTTCTGGGGGTTGTTATCCTAGGTAATTTACACACATGTTAATAGATAATGAATTGTACTTTAGTGTACCTGTACCTACATAAAGTTACTAACCCAGTCAACAACAAGCTTTCCCAGGCGGAGAGCAGCTGATGCATGGTGATCTCACCAGTGACCCAGACGGCATCAAGATGGTAACACGTCCCGGGGAAGAAAACAATGCAAAATCATCGTTGATGCTCAAGGCAAGGGTAGAGCGAGATATATAGTCACTCCACCAACGCCAAAGCTGAAGTCCACGAGACACTTGCATCATCTTGTGTTGGATTTATAGGGCCACTGACAGCCTGTACCGTACTATTGTTGTGGTGGTTGTTAAGGGCCACCACGGCACGAGTCCTACTGAGTCCTGCTTCACGCGGTCTGATAAGAGAGAGAGACCTAGTGTGTCTACGAGCCCTCCTAGGGCGGGGAAGGTGCCAGAGCCAGAGCTTGCTACCACCTGCAGCTTACGAGACTGCCATTCCCACTCCCCTGGGGCGGGGAAAATGGCAGACCAGAGACCTAGCTTCTCCCTACGAGCCCCGTGAGGGCGGGAATGGTGCTCTGCCTGGCGACAATTGGTCCCAGAAGACCTAGTGTGTCCTCTGTTGTTCTTTAGATAGTACAAGGTGCCTTCCACTCAGTTTCTTTTGCAAGAAATAATTTATACATAAACAGCATGGTAGTGTTGTACATTCTCCTTCAAGCAAAACACCAGGATTTACTGCCTTCAATAGCATCAGATAACGGCCCCTGCAGAAGGTTAACATTCAGCTACCCAGGCCAGTAAGTAGGTCTATTTAGGTATACACAAATACAGTTACATAGATTATCATACATAGCAGCATATGTGTAGAGAACCTAGGATAGCCCGAAAAAGTCAGAGTGACTTATTTCCACTGGGGTCCTTTCCAGCATGAAATATACATAAGTATTATTAACATTAATGTTATGCAATACCGACGCTTAAATAAATAAGACACATGTGCAACGCTATGGTATATGAATTTTGAAACATATCTGATACATAAATTATTAAAATAATGGAGAATGTTAAAGAAGAGTGAGGTGTTGAGTTCGTCAGCCTTGATAGACACCTCTTTATTCTACTGATGAAACCTGGTGAGTAGGCGAAACGTTTCTGAGATAAAGAAACCAAAGTGATACACATTTACCCCATTTTATAATAATAATAATCTTTATTTCTACAAGTACATGTACAAGGTATACAGGCCTAGCTGACATCTACACTACAGAAAGCTGTTTGTTATGCAGAGCGTTTCGGGCAAATTGTGTCAGTTTTGTCCCCAGGATGCGACCCACACCAGTCAACTAACACCCAGGTAATCATTTTACTGATGGGTGAACACTGGACAGCAGGTGTGTTAAGGAAACACGCACTAATGTTTCCAACCAAATCGGCGATCGACCCCCGGTATATACAGTAGCAGCATAAGAGCAGAGCAAGGAAGACGTGCCTCTCCCTGCTCTAACATGAGAGAGTTACTACTGGTCGCCACTTGTCATAACACTAAACTATCTTTTTCCATCTGGCAGATGTGACATCTTTAGTTTACTCAAACTTTTGCTGCGGCTTTCACACCCATACACACTCCTGGTGTTTACTGGTACTAATCAGTTTTTATAGACACTGTACGCAATTATAACTTCTGATATGGATGATGGAAGCCAGATGTTTCATAATTCAACCATAAGAAGCACAAAACAACGACATACTTGATACAGAGCGCCATTAGTAGATTGTAGTTTAGTACAGTAAAGTAAGTATTGTTGTCTCCACTCATCTGCTGCCTGACCTGACACTCCACACTCACCTGCTGCCTGACCTGACACTCCACACTCACCTGCTGCCTGACCTGACACTCCACACTCACCTGCTGCCTGACCTGACACTCCACACTCATCTGCTGCCTGACCTGACACTCCACACTCATCTGCTGCCTGACCTGACACTCCACACTCACCTGCTGCCTGACCTGACACTCCACACTCACCTGCTGCCTGACCTGACACTCCACACTCACCTGCTGCCTGACCTGACACTCCACACTCACCTGCTGCCTGACCTGACACTCCACACTCACCTGCTGCCTGACCTGACACTCCACACTCACCTGCTGCCTGACCTGACACTCCACACTCACCTGCTGCCTGACCTGACACTCCACACTCACCTGCTGCCTGACCTGACACTCAACACTCACCTGCTGCCTGACCTGACACTCCACACTCACCTGCTGCCTGACCTGACACTCCACACTCACCTGCTGCCTGACCTGACACTCCACACTCACCTGCTGCCTGACCTGACACTCAACACTCACCTGCTGCCTGACCTGACACTCCACATTCACCTGCTGCCTGACCTGACACTCCACACTCACCTGCTGCCTGACCTGACACTCCACACTCACCTGCTGCCTGACCTGACACTCCACATTCACCTGCTGCCTGATCTGACACTTCACACTCACCTGCTGCCTGACCTGACACTCCACATTCACCTGCTGCCTGACCTGACACTCCACATTCACCTGCTGCCTGAGCTGACACTCCACACTCATCTGCTGCCTGACCTGACACTCCACACTCACCTGCTGCTGACCTGACACCTCCACACTCACCTGCTGCCTGACCTGACACTCAAAATCACCTGCTGCCTGACCTGACACTCCACACTCACCTGCTGCCTGACTTGACACTCCACACTCACCTGCTGCCTGACCTGACACTCCACACTCACCTGCTGCCTGACCTGACACTCCACACTCACCTGCTGCCTGACCTGACACTCCACACTCACCTGCTGCCTGATCTGACACTCCACACTCACCTGCTGCCTAACCTGACACTCCACACTCACCTGCTGCCTGATCTGACACTCTACACTTACCTGCTGCCTGACCTGACACTCTACACTTACCTGCTGCCTGACCTGACACTCCACACTCACCTGCTGCCTGACCTGACATTCCACATTCACCTGCTACCTGACCTGACGCTCCACACTCACCTGCTGCCTGACCTGACACTCCACACTCACCTGCAGCCTGACCTGACACTCCACACTCACCTGCTGCCTGACCTGACACTTCACACTCACCTTCTGCCTGACCTGACACTCTACACTTACCTGCTGCCTGACCTGACACTCCACACTCACCTGCTGCCTGACTTGACACTTCACACTCACCTTCTGCCTGACCTGACACTCTACACTTACCTGCTGCCTGACCTGACACTCTACACTTACCTAATCCCTGACCTGACACTCCACACTCACCTGCTGCCTGACCTGACACTTCACACTCACCTGCTGCCTGACCTGACACTCTACACTTACCTGCTGCCTGACCTGACACTCCACACTTACCTGCTGCCTGACCTGACACTCTACACTTACCTGCTGCCTGACCTGACACTTCACACTCACCTGCTGCCTGACCTGACACTCTACACTTACCTGCTGCCTGACCTGACACTCCACACTCACCTGCTGCCTGACCTGACGCTCCACATTCACCTGCTGGCTGACCTGACACTCCACACTCACCTGCTGCCTGACCTGGCACTCCACACTCACCTGCTGCCTGACCTGACACTCCACACTCACCTGCTCCCTGACCTGACACTTCACACTCATCTGCTGCCTGACCTGACACTCCACATTCACCTGCTGCCTGACCTGACACTTCACACTCACCTGCTGCCTGACCTGACACTCTACACTTACCTGCTGCCTGACCTGACACTCCACACTCACCTGCTGCCTGACCTGACACTCCATATTCACCTGCTGCCTGACCTGACACTCCACACTCACCTGCTGCCTGACCTGACATTTCACACTCACCTGCTGCCTGACCTGACACTCCACACTCACCTGCTGCCTGACCTGACACTCCACACTCACCTGCTGCCTGACCTGACACTCCACACTCACCTGCTGCCTGACCTGACACTCCACACTCACCTGCTGCCTGACCTGACGCTCTACACTTACCTGCTGCCTGACCTGACACTCCACACTCACCTGCTGCCTGACCTGACACTCCACATTCACCTGCTGCCTGACCTGACACTCCACACTCACCTGCTGCCTGACCTGACACTTCACACTCACCTGCTGCCTGACCTGACACTCCACACTCACCTGCTGCCTGACCTGACACTCCACACTCACCTGCTGCTGACCTGACACTTCACACTCACCTGCTGCCTGACCTGACACTCCACACTCACCTGCTGCCTGACCTGACACTCCACACTCACCTGCTGCCTGACCTGACACTCTACACTTACCTGCTGCCTGACCTGACACTCCACATTCACCTGCTGCCTGACCTGACACTTCACACTCACCTGCTGCCTGACCTGACACTCCACACTCACATGCTGCCTGACCTGACACTTCACACTCACCTGCTGCCTGACCTGACACTCCACACTCACCTGCTGCCTGACCTGACACTCCCCACTTACCTGCATTTGTAATCTGACATTCATAATGCCAGTGTCTTCACGTAAGGAACTCACTCTTCCTATATAAGCCTGTTCCCATCTCACATTTTAGTGTCTGCTGAAGAGGACTCTAGGTGGGGGTCAAAATGTACAGACCAACTTTCTGTGTTTCTGTCTATATGTGTGTGTTAATAATAATAATGATAATAATAATAATAATAATAATAATGGTGATAGAAAAATAGTTAATGGTTATGTGGAAACATAGAATGTAGCCTCAGACTTTGTTTGTTATGAAGTCTGAAAAGAGGCTTTGTGACTTAAGGGAGAGTTTTCAGAGCTCTCTCTCTCTCCAGTAGTTCTAAGAAATAGGTACTTACTTTGTGTCTTAATGAAGGGCTCATAAAGCTCCCTTGTCAGTAGGGGCTCCGGAAGGTCCCTGAAGAATTCCTTCAGTAAGGTTGCCACGTCATGTGGACAGTGGTCCTCGTTGAGCCACACCTCCCGGCCACTGTCGAACTCCTCTCGCAGCTACACATACACACACACAAAAAAGATAAATAAACAGCATTAGATCACAGAAGAAGAAAGGCAGAAGAGGCGAGGAACCAGGTTATGAGTTTTGAGACATAGAGAAGGAAGACAAAGTTCCACGTGACTAGAGGGATCGAGCTGCCTGTTCCTAGTGGAAGTAATTCACATTGTTTGATTTAGGTGGGTTATCCTAGGCAAAATCTCCATATACTTTGATAACTATATTAGTGCTATTATCAACGGTGTGCCCTTACGAGGAGTGTAAAATAATGTGTATTATGAAACCATACCACGGGCGGGGATAGAACCCGCGATCAGAGAGTCTCAAAACTCCAGACCCTCGCGTTAGCCACTGGACCAGTGGCTAACGCGACGGTCTGGAGTTTTGAGATTCGGATCGCGGGTACTATCCCCGCCCGTGGTATGGTTTGTTTGCAGTCGTGTCATTACGATTTCGTGAGTCAATGTGTAAAATGCATTGATTGCTTAAATAAAAACTTAATAACTTGTATGACTGTGAACAATAAAAAAGATCCACCTGTTTTAAAAATTTATGAAGAAAATTTATGATGAACTCTCCCACCTTACACACTTGTAAGATGAAAAGAGGAACACCACCTACCTGCACTTCAGATTTCTTGTAAAGTGAAGAGAACACCACCTGCCTTACACACTTCTTGTAGGGTAAAGAGAGGAACACCTGCTTGTCTGGCCCGCTTCTTGAACAATGACAAGAGGACCTATCTGTTACATTAACCACTTACTGGAGGAGGACCCTACGTAACCGCCTGCCTGATCCACCCTGCTGGAGTCTGACTGGAGGGCCCAACCTGCCTGACTTGTATCCTGGAGTACAAGAACAGCCCTATTTGCCTGGATTACATCTTAAAGGGTAAGAGGGGCCCCACCTGCCTGACCCTCTTCTTGGAAGAGGATACTCTGAAGATGCCAAGGGTATGCATGCCATTGGTTTCGAGGTGTTTGAAGCACATGTTGACCAGGCCGGGGATCTGTGGGTTGGGCTCCACCATTAGAAGGTCTGGAGTGGGTGGTCCTGGAGGAAGCAGGTCCCCGCCCACAAGGCTCGGTCGCTTCCTCTCCAGGTTAAGTGATTCCAGAGACCCTGTCGTTGACTGCAAAAAAAAAAAAAAAAAAAAAAAAAAAAGAGGCATTATAAACGTTTCGCCTACACAGTAAACTTCTTCATTCAAGTACACAGGAGGCAGCAGAAGCAGTAGAGGTGTAAAGACAATGTAATTAGTTTATCATCCTTGAAGACGTAATTTTGAGGTGGTCAATCCCTCAGCCTGGAGATGACTTTTGCTCCATACTCTGGAACAATGTGAAGCTGAAGCAACTATATGGAGGCTTATGTACTGTCAAAAGTGAGGCGCAGAGAATCTTGACGACAGGAGAGGCAGAACCCACTAGTAGAAGTAAGAACGTAATCACTGAGAGGGCAGGTCCCTCCCAAATCCATCCTTTCTCACTTGTAACTAGTGATCAAGCAATAAAGTTATCGAAAATATTCTCTCTACCAAGATATCGTTGTGTTGCAGTGTCTGACAGAGTGAACATGGTAATGGCATACAATAGTGACAAGCTGATAACTAAGACATGTGCAACAATTAGGACATGCACCTTTGACCATCCCAAAAATGCCACACCCACATGACAACAGGAGAGTGCAACTTCCCCTCCTGTAACTTATTTCACCCAGAAATGTGTCACTCATCAATCCATGAAAGAAAATGCCACAACGCATACTGCCAGGCACATCACCTAAAGGGGACTAAAAGATACAGACCAGCCAGACTATGGGAAGCAAAAGAGGGGATCCACAACTTCTCCACGGACAGAGGTTTTTTAGGGCTAGGAGGGAAAAAGACTGGCAAGAAATGACACCAACTGAAAACACTTCTGGAGCAGAGGCACGGATATTGGCGTCTACTCCAGAACAACAGATATTAGGGCCAACAAATAAAACCCCCCTAAATTCCACCAATATAACGGCATTTAACTTTGCAAACATACAGGGTCTAAAGCCACCAGAAAACAATAAAATTCCTTACATCAAGGGACTGCTTACAGAGTCAAATGCAATGTTTGCAGCATTCACAGAGACGAACATAAAGGATCATTATGACAACGATATTTGGATCCCGGGTTGTAACCTATTCCGATGCGACAGACTAAACAGGCAACCGGGGGGGGGGGGGGGTTGGCCTGTATGTCACAGAGTAGTTCATTTGCACAGAACTACTAAACACCTCAAATGATGTTGTTGAAGTTTTGGCAGTAAAGATTGAAAACCAAAACCTTGTCATTGTGGTAGTATACAAGCCTCCAGATGCAACTTCCCAGCAATTCCAGGAGCAGCTTGTGAAAATTAACAACTGTCTGGAAGATCTGCCAACTCCTGCCCCAAACATCTTACTACTAAGAGATTTCAACTTGAGACACCTAAAATGGAGGAGTATAGCAAACATTGTTTTAGCAGAGATCACCCCAGGAGGCAGCTCAGATGAAAATTCACACACACACGAGCTATTAAATCTCTGCACCAAATTCACCTTAAACCACCAAATAGTAGAACCTACAAGACTAGAAAAAACGCTGGACCTCATCTTCACTAACAACAACGATCTGATATGTAATATAACTGTATCAAAGACAATTCACTTAGTTCACTAGATAATAGATGTACAGACATGTATGCACAGGGCTCCTGACCAACAAAATGTGAGCAGTCATGAAGGTCTCTTCACGAAATTCAATTTCAATAACAAAAACATACAATGGGATCAAGTAAACCATGACCTAAATGAAACAAGCTGGGAAGATATCCTAAACAACACAGATTCGAACATTTGCTTTGAAAAAAATGAATTCTGTGGTTCTTGAGATCTGCTCAAGACACATTAAATTAAGAAAAAGAAAATGTAAACTAGAAAGAGAGAGACGCTCCCTATACAGACGAAGGCGAAAAGTCACAGAGTTGCTGAGTGGGGCCAATATATCTGAAATATGAAGGGAGGCACTAGTCAATGAAATTGCAAATAACGAACTTATACCGAAGGAATCTTACAGGAGACAAGAATCACAGGAACAACTAAAAGCCATAAAGGAAACTGAAAAAAAATAACTTCGTCTCTTATGCTAAATCTATGGGAAAAACAACATCCACTACTGGACCCCAGCTTACACGGGATGGGACATACAGAGATGGCAGCCAAGAAATGAGTGAGATACTAAAGTCCCAATATGACTCAGAGTTCGGCGAGCCGCTGCCAAGACTAAGGGTCGACAATCAAAATGAATTCTTTATGAATGAAACCCAAAATTTGGTCATCTCAAAATTCTCGGATATTATCCTAACTCCACAAGACTTTGAAGAGGCAATAAATGGCATGCCCATGCGCTCTGCCCCAGGCCCAGACTCATGGAACTCCGTGTTCATCAAGCATTGCAAGAAGCTCCTATCACGTGCCTTCAACATTTTATGGAGAGGAAGCATGAACACAGGAGTCATCCCACACACACTAAAAACAACAAACATAGCCCAGCTCCACAACGGTGGCAGTAAAGCAATTACAAAGAACTACAGACCGATAGCACTAACATCCCATATCATAAAAATCTTTGAGAGGGTTCTAAGAAGTAAGATCGCCAACCACCTAGATATCCATCAGTTACACAACCCAGCGCAACACGGGTTTAGAGCAGGTCGCTCCTGCCTGTCCCAGCTACTGGACCACTATGACAAGGTCCTGGATGCTGTTGAGGATAAACAAAATATAGATGCACCTGGAGGTTACCTGGGATCAACGCCCACGCGGCCCGGTCCATGACCAGGCCTCCCGATGGATCAAGGCCTGATCAACTAGGCTGTTACTGATGGCTGCACGCAGTCCAACGTACGAGCCACAGCCCGGCTGATCCGGCACTGACTTTAGGTATCTTTCCAGCTCTCTCTTGAAGGCAGCCAGGGGTTTATTGGTAATTCCCCTAATGCTTGATGGGAGGCTGTTGAACAGTCTTGGGCCCCGGACACTTATGGTGTTTTCCCTTAGTGTACCAATGGCGCCCCTACTGTGTAGTATACACAGACTTTGCAAAAGCTTCCGACAAGTGTGACCATGATGTAATAGCACACAAAATGCGTGATAAAGGAATAACAGGAAAAGTTGGTAGATGGATCTATAACTTCCTGACAAATAGAACACAAAGAGTAGTAGTAAACAGAGTAAAGTCTGAGGCAGCTACGGTGAAAAGCTCTGTTCCACAAGGCACAGTGCTCGCTCCCATTCTATTCCTTATCCTCATTTCTGACATAGACAGAGATGTAAGCCACAGCTCCATGTCTTCCTTTGCGGATGACACCCGGATCACCATGGCAGTGACCTCCATCAAAGACACCGCGGGACTCCAAGCGGACATCAACCAAATCTTTGAATGAGCCACTCAAAACAATATGAAGTTCAACGAGGAGAAATTTCGACTGCTCAGATATGGGAAACTTGAGGAAATTAAAAATATATCAGGGTATACGACAAATTCTAGCCATACAATAGAGTGGAATAATGAGAACCTTCAAAACTAGGGATGCCAAGCCCTTGATGATTCTCTTCAAATCGCTTGTGCTCTCTAGGCTGTCTTTGTAACTTATGAGCTCATTACCTTTGTACCTAGTTCAGCTATCAAAACTTTGGGGGCCCAGTCCCTGGAACTATTATGTACCTCTGTAATCTGTAAATACCTTTGTAACTTGTCATGATTGTGACCATATCTACCTGGAGTTCATTACCTTTGTAACTTGCTCTACTATCAAAACTTTGGGGCCCAGTCCCTGGACCCATTATGTACCTTTGTAATCTTTTGACTTCTGCCCACAGGATGGGTATGGGGTGCATAATAAACATATTAAACTAACTAACTAAACTCTCTAGGCTGGAATACTGCTGTACACTAACGGCCCCCTTCAAGGCTGCCGACATTGCAGACCTGGAGAGTGTACAAAGAACTTTCACGGCACACATAAGTACGATAAGGCACCTAAATTACTGGGAAAAGTTGAAGGTCCTTGATCTTTATCCTGGAACGCAGGCGAGAGAGATACACGATAATATAGACTTGGAAGGTCCTGGAGGGATTGGTACCAAACCTGCACACGAATATCACTCCTTATGAAAGCAAAAGACTCGGCAGGGAATGCAACATTCTCCCGATGTAAATCAGGGGCTCCACGAGTACACTGAGAGACAACACAATAAGTGTCCGGGGCCCAAGACTGTTCAACTGCCTCTAGCATACATAAGGGGGATTAGCAATAGACCCCTGGCTGTCTTTAAGAAGGCACTGGACAGGCATCTAAAGTCAGTACCTAACCAACCGGGCTGTGGTTCGTACGACAGCTTGCGTGCGGCCAGCAATAACAGCCTGGTTGATCAGACTCTGATCCACCATTAGGCCTGGTCTCAGACCGAGCCGCGGGGGCGTTGACCCCGATACCCTCTCCAGGTAAACTCCAGGTAATGCCAGTATAATGAATCACTTTTCGACAAAGTCCAGCTCCACTAGAAGGGAACCTGTCAACCTCCTGTGGTTACTGAACCACTCTGGGATATTCCAGGGTATCCTTATCATCCTATTTAAAGACTTCTCCCAGTTCAGTTTAGTTTAATGTGGCGTAAAAAAAAAAACAGGAATAAAGAGGTCACAATGGATCTTTGTCAGAGCTCACCAGGCATAATTACACCACGAAAAAAAATATATCACAGTCAATTCATATAATAGAATTTCTTCACATAATAGTTAATGAACACATTACAGTATGGAGTTACAATCTCAAAAGCATTTAAGTGTCTTATTACCACTAAAAAATTAGTCATTATTGGGTTTGAATCTCTTCAAAAACAATTTATTCAACCGGTCGGTCGACCCACAATATGTAGACAGTCTCAAGGAAATCTGAATTAAGTGGAGCCACCAGAGGTCTTGAAAGCCTGAAGGAAGTGGGTAACTACCTTTTTCTGAAAAGGCTCAAAGAAGGTTGAAAAAAGAGGAACTAACTTGTTCTTAGGTGGCTGAAATATGTCTGAAGTGCAACTACTTGTTCTGAAGAGGCTGAAAGAAGTTTGAAGGAAGTGGAACTTTCTTGGTTATGGAACTTACCTGCTTGGTTCCTTCCAGGAGGGAGGAGAAGGAAGCGTGAGATCCAGCCTGTGAGGACTTGCGGCTGAGGGGCGGCTCTCCCTCCTCCGCCGCAGCCATGGCCGCTGAGGTGGCGGCTGCGGCCACGGCTGCGGCTGCGGCTCTCTCTGCAGCCTCCCTGCTGCGGCTTCTCTCGTTCTCCAGGCACTTGGTCAGCGAGAGACCGAACACCAGACCACTCTCCACACCATCTGCGGAGGAGACCAAACATGGAGACACACACACACACACACACACACACACACACACACACACACACACACACACACACACACACACACACACACACACACACACACACACGAGGTATGATAGAGCTCATGGGGCAGGGAGAGAGAGGACCTAGTAGCAATCAGCGAAGAGGCGGGGCCAGGAGCTGTGACTCGACCCCTGCAACCACAAATAGGTGAGCAAATAGGTGAGTACACACACACACAGGAGGAGAGTGGTGGAGCACATGGAACGGAACAAGATTATAAACAACAACCAGCACAGATTCATGGAGGGCAAATCCTGTGTCACAAACCTTCTGGAGTTTTATGACAAAGTTACAGAAGTAAGACACGAGAGAGAGAGATGGGTTGATTGCATTTTCCTGGACTGCAGGAAGGCCTTCGACACAGTTCCTCACAGTAGATTAGTGCAGAAGCTGGAGGATCAGGCGCGTATAACAGGAAGGGCACTGCAATGGATCAGAGAATACCTGACAGGGAGGCAACAACGAGTCATGGTACGTGTCGAGGTATCACAGTGGGCACCTGTGACAAGCGGGGTTCCACAGGGGTCAGTCCTAGGACCAGTGCTATTTTTGATATATGTGAATGACATGATGGAAGAGATAGACTCTGAAGTGTCCCTGTTCGCAGATGATGTGAAGCTAATGAGAAGGATTAAATCAGAGGAGGATCACGCAGGACTACAAAGAGACCTGGACAGGCTGGACACCTGGTCCAGAAACTGGCTTCTCGAGTTCAACTCTGCCAAATGCAAAGTCATGAAGACTGGGGAGGGGCAAAGAAGACCGCAGACAGAATATAGGCTAGGTGGACAAAGGCTTCAAACCTCACTGAAGGAGAAAGATCTTGGGGTGACCATAACACCGAGCACGTCTCCGGAGGCACACATCAACCAGATAACTGCTGCAGCATACGGGCGCCTGGCAAACCTGAGAATGGCGTTCCAATACCTTAGTAAGGAATCGTTCAAGACGCTGTACACTGTGTACGTCAGGCCCATACTGGAGTATGCAGCACCAGTTTGGAACCCTCACCTGGTCAAGCACGTTAAGAAATTAGACAAGGTATGACAAAGCGCAGGAAGCAGAGAGAGAGAGAGAGAGAGAGAGAGAGAGAGAGAGAGAGAGAGAGAGAGAGAGAGAGAGAGAGAGAGAGAGAGAGAGAGAGAGAGAGAACCTAGTAGCGATAAGTGAGAAGGCGGGGCCAGGAGCTATGTCTCGACCCCTGCAACCACAATTAGGTAAGTACACACACTGCTTCCTCTCACTTGACCATCACCACGTTAAGAAATTAGAGAAAGTTCAAAGGTTTGCGACAAGGTTAGTTCCAGAGGTAAGGGGAATGTCCTATGAAGAAAGGTTGAGGGAAATCGGACTGACGACACTGGAGGACAGGAGGGATAGGGGAGACATGATAACGACATACAAAATACTGCGTGGAATAGACAAGGTGGACAGAGACAAGATGTTCCAGAGAGGGGACACAGAAACAAGGGATCACTCTTGGAAGTTGAAGACTCAGATGAGTCACAGGGATGTTAGGAAGTATTTCTTCAGTCATAGAGTGGTCAGGAAGTGGAACAGTCTGGCGAGAGATGTAGTGGAGGCAGGAACCATACATAGCTTTAAGACGAGGTATGATAAAGCTCATGGAACAGGGAGAGG